GGGGTTGGTGTTTCGGGTGGAAGTTATGAGCCACTTAGAGTATTCGGTTGGCCGTGCACACAAGTAGTGAACGTGGTGTTTCTCTTGTGTTAGGTAGCACTAAGGGACACTTTTCTATCAATCGGTTGGATAGATACAATAAGAGGTTGAATAAATAACGAAAGGTTGGTTGCATATTAAAAGGTTGAATATATAATAAAAGGTTGGTTGTATATTAAAAGGTTGAATATGTAACAAAAGGTTGGTTGTTAGTAAAAGGTTGTATAAGTAAAGGTTGACTATATATGAAATGTAATTGTTTACATGATATGCAGTTGTTTATATGATATTTTGTTGATAATATATGTTATGTGGTAGAATTGCAGTTGAACATATATGCATGTATGTGGTGGAATATGTGACTGGTTAACTATATTACGCGGTTGTTTGCTATCTGTTATTTGTCTATCATTTTTATGCTTCATCATAAAATGAATGATTGACCCATTTAGGGTTTGTATGTTTATATGCAACTTTATGAACTCACTCAGCAGGGGATGACACTTGTATCTTTTCTCTTTTGTACCTTATGATTGGTGCAGGCATCTTAGGAGTTTGGCCTTGGTGAGAGGGGATACTTATGAGTAGTATATTTATATTATTGATACCACTTTTGGACACATTTTTTATTATTTACTTTAAAAGTACTTTTCTTACATTTTAAATGGTTTGGAATTATGTTTGAATTTTGAGGTAACGTTGTGGTTTGAAAATGTTTTAAATTAAAAACTAGTCTTCCGCTAACGTATTCTGTTAAAGATTGTTTTAAAAGGAAATTAAAAGTTTGTGGTAAAAATCACGATGTTACACTAAAGACTCAAGTGATTAGATGATTGCAATGCAACGTGAGATGGAGTCCTTGCAAATAAATGGTATGCAACGCCAGTGTTCCAAGTATTTTTCATTTTTGCATTTATTCCTTAAAATGATTGCAAAATTGGTCCCTACGTTGGGTGTACGAGATGGGTACGCTGGGCGTAGGTCCTTAAAGATGGTCGCAGAATCCCTCGCGTACATTGGGCGCACGTGTGTGTATGCATACTCAGAGGGAAACCCTAATTTTAGGGTTTGGACCATATTTAAAGAACTTTATGGCCTTAAACCCTTTCTTACCTCCAGCCTCCATCTCTCTTAGCCTCCATCTCGAAACCCTAATTCTTGAGTGTGAGTTTTGAAGCTTTAGAGTGACATTTTGGTGTTCCTGGTGGTGAAGGAAGACCTTTGGAGTTGTGGTGTTGCTCTCAAGCTTTTGGATCCATATTATTCTCATCTTTGTGCATCTTCTGGAGGTATAAAGTTCATACCATGGAGCTTCCTTCGCTAGATCTTGTTTAAGCTTAGATTTATGTTATTTTGTCCCAAAACCTTGATATTTTTTAGTATGGAATACTCTAGAGCTTTTAAGTTGTCCTCTCAGATGTTTTAGGGTGTATAGGGTCATAAAAATGCAAGTTGGTCCTTGGTTTTCATCCATGCAAGAGTTATGGAAGTTTAGATGATAATATAAGTTATGGTTTTGGTTTTGAGCTTCCTTTTTCCATGCAAAGGCATAAAGGTTGCAACTTTATGGCTTTAGACGTTTATTAGGCTTAGATCTAAAGATTGGGCGTTAAGTCTTAAAGCATTAAGACATAAATGAAAGTTTGGGCTTCAGGACATTACGCAGGACATACTCTTGCGTACGCTGAATGTAATGGGTTGAGGCCCCGTAAACCCCCTTGCGAGATCATGTTGTACGTTGGGCATATGGTGGGAACGACGTGCATACTCCCAGAAAAACACGTTGGGATGTTTTTGGGCCTTGGTCCATTAGGAGTTTTGGGCTTTCATTAGTTGGGTTATGTATAGGAAGGGCAAAATGGTATTTTGCGCTTAATATGATAAAGGATGGTTTTGGACCATTGATTATGGGTTAAAACCCTAATTTTAATTAGGACTGTCTTTGGGTTTTGTTTAGTGGGAGGAGCCATATTAATAGCAGCTCGAGTATGTGATTCAGTTACCTTCAGTTAGATGTGAGTCTTCTTACCACACTAGTGGGTTGAAGGCACCAAGGCCAACCCACTGATTTGTATGTGTAGGATATATGCCATTATGTGACTATTGTTTATGTGATTGTATGATATATGCATGGAGCCAAAATGGGCTCGGAGTCATTGTGGACTCGGGGTTGATACGGACCCGGGGGTTGATTCGGACCCGACACAACTAATTGCTGTTATATAGGGTTGATACGGACTCGGGGGTTGTTACGGACCTAACATAACCACATGCTGTTATATTTATGTGTTTGGTGTATGTGGTATTTTGGGGAAGCTCACTAAGCTTTGTGCTTATAGAGTTATAGATATGTTTTTGATTTCAGGTACTTCCGGTACAAAAGGGAAGGGCCCGGCATGATGACACAATATCCTCCCCCTCATGATTCCACATTTTGTGATCTCTGTTACTCTGATATTTTGTGATAGTTGTAATAATGAATTGAAAAATGAAATTTTTACTTATAGATTTTTGGTCGTTACATGGTTCTTGGGATTTAGTTCCTATTCCTAAAGGCAAAAGACCAGTTAAACGCAAGTAGGTCTACAAACCCAGGGGAACCTTTAACCCAAATGAGAAACCAAGGTACAAAGCTCGGTTAGTAGCGAAAGGCTAGATACAGATTCCTGGTATCGATTACACTAACATTTATTCCCCAGTTGTCAAACATACTTCTATCTGTGTTTTGTCGAGATTGGTTGCTTCTAATGATTATGAATTAGAGCAACTTGATGTTATTACAACTTTCTTCAATGATGTGCTTGATGAATAGATTTTTATACACCAACCTGAGGGTTTTGTAGTTCCTGGCAAGGAGGATTACGTGTCTAAATTGAATAAATCTCTTTATGGCCTCAAGCAATCTCTTAAACAATGCTATAAAAGGCTTGATTTATTCATGATCAGTCACGAATTCAAGAGGTGTGCCCATGATAGCTGTGTTTATTACAAAAAAATGTGATGATGGTTTGATGATCTACTTACTCTTATACGTGGATGACATGTTGATCGCATAGAAAGATATGAAGGAGATTCAAAAATTAAAAGACCGGTTGAAAGCTGACTTTGAAATGAAGGACTTAGGAGTTGCCAAAAAGATTTTAGATATGAAAATTATTCGTGACAAGAAGTATAGGGCCTTGCATCTTTTTTCAGAAAAATTACATTGAGAAAGTCCTAAGGCGCTTCAATATGCATGAAGCAAAACCTGTCAACACACATTTTGCAGCTCATTTCAAGTTATCATCTCGTTTGAGTCATATTATTGAGACTGATATGGCTTACATGACACGTGTTCTATACTCTAGTGTTGTCAGATCTTTAATGTATGCTATGATTTGCACACGCTTTGATTTGGCTTATGTTGTTAACATGATTAATAGATACATGGCAAACCTAGGGAAAGAACATTAGAAAGTAGTGCAATAGATATTTTGTTATTTGCGGGGTACGTCTTCTATGTGTCTACATTTTGGTAAGTCTACTACTGGGTGCTTGGATATGTTAATTCAAATCATGCTAAGGATCTAGATAAATGAATATTTATTGCAGGGTATGTGTTTACTTTCAACGGTTATGCTGTTAGTTAGAAAGCTCAGTTCCAGTCTGTATTTGCTTTGTCATCTACTAAGGTAGAGTATATGGCAATTACAAAAGCAGTGAATGAAATATCAAGGTTGAGGGGTTTATTCAGTGAACTCGATGATAGATTGAAGGTTACCACGATATTCTGTGACAATCAAAGTGCCATCTTCTCGAGTAAAGATCAAATGTTTCATGACCGAACAAAGCGCATTGATTTCATTTTGTGTGGGATATCATTGAAAAGGGTGATTGTGTCGTGGAGAAGATTCATACCCATTATAATCCCCCAAATATGTCACTAAAAGTCTTCCTACAGCCAAGCTCAAACTATGTTTGGACTTGATGGGTGTTTCTGATCGCAATTGATCCTGAATGGCTCGTTGGTGGAAGAAGTATTTTTCTTCAGAATCAATTTTTATCTAAATGGTGATTACAAGTTCTTATGGAGTTTTGGAGTTTGATGAGTTGTTGGTGTTTAATGTTCTTAGATGTTTGTTGAGGGCAAGTTGTAGTTTTCATTGTCTATTTTGAAGTTAAGGTGGAGATTGTGGAAATATGCCTTCAAAAATTGACAAGTTCTGCTTAGTTCAAGGTATATATTGTCTTTCCAGCCATCCATGTCTAAAATGAGTGTTTAGGTTTAATAAGGGCATCATATTTAAAATGAGTGTTTCAGGTCTAAAAAGGACTTGTTCTTGAAATGTATTTGCTCCATTCTTGAAGAGCCAAATCTACCAAATTGGCAAAACTTTGAGAGAGAGAGAGAGAGAGAGAGAGAGAGAGAGAGAGAGAGAGAGAGAGAGAGAGAGAGAGAGAGATTTAAAGACTTATTCTTCTTCCCCCCTTTTAGGATCGACATTTTCTAAGGTTTGAACCCTTTATCACCAAATCATTATAGTTCATTGTAATATCTTTGATCAAGCTACGTAAACACTGCAATATCTCAGTGGATTGGTTCTCGCATTCCTCTGTCCGTGATTTTTTTCCGATTTGGATTTTCCACGTAAATCTTTGTGTCTCTCAGATTTATTGCTCTACTTAGCATTTTTCATTGCTTGTGGTTGATTATGGTTTGATATATTAGTCCTATTCCGCTTGAACTAATATGTTATTGTGATTCAGATTTCTGGGTTGTTTGATGCATTAAGACTTTTTCGGTTTTAGTGCATCTTTATCCTCTTTGTTTACTACATTAAGAACCAAAACTATTATGAAAAAAAACCCACTTTTATATTTTTATATATAGTTAGTATATACCCTAAAAATCCAAACCGGTTAAAAGTCATCCGGATCGGTTTCTTAAACCGGTTTGTGTACCTCAGGGCTCAGGCTGGAACTGTTTTAAAGAATAACAACATGGGCTGAGCCCTGTTCGATTTTCTTGATGATGTAAGAAAAGAGTAAACTCAAGAGGGGTTTTCTCAAATCGGGCCAATCTGTAAATCAAATTCAAGCTAAAATATCACGAGTAGCGACTCTCATTTGCTTCTAACTTCTTAGCATACACGCTTGCCGCTCGAAATTCAGTTCTTCTTCTTCTTCCTATTTGGCGTCTCCAGAAAGAATGGACAATCATCAAGTATGAACCCTAGTCTTTTACTCTTTGCTATTTATCATCGGTGCTTTGGAAATTTTATGTTTCGTTCGATTACAATTAGTTACATGATTATCCCCACTAGGTCTATACCCATGCTATACATTAAACCAAGTGTTTTCATATGTTCGAATTACAGAAAAGATGTTTCTGCTCCTTTTTTTGGTTAATGTGTCTATTACATTTGGCTGAACTCTTGTGTTTAGAATCGAAAACTACTGTTGATGATTGTTATTCATGATAATCCACAGGCTGATGATGAACATGAATTAGTTATGGAGCTCTCTGAAAAAGATTCGCTCTTGGAAAAAAAGAAGGTTAGGATTCTCAATTTCTCATAGTCGTATATGTTTCTCCACTCTTTTATGCACTATGTTGATTATTATCTTGCTAAATGGTTTCTTAATCTCATTCTTCTCGACAGAAATTATTAGAAATCAACCATTTTGACCCTAATGGAAAAGTAAAAATCAAGAGCATTTGTAGCATCGAGTTAGTGAATTCTGTTTTGGAAGAGATGCTTCAGAGAGCTCGAATCATAAATGCAGATGAGGTCAATAATATCACATTACTTTATCTTTCATCAATAATAAAAACACACTCTAGATTTCACAACCAATATGCTAAAATCATGAGTTATTGTTTATTAGGTTGACCTTTACTTTGGAGGGATTGATGCTTTTGGATTTTGTAGTCCAAGAAATGAATTGGAATCTCTTCATACAATCTTATCACTTGTTGACAAGTCAAAGTCAACAAGTGAACAAATAAGACCAAAAGTCTTCCAAGATCTTATGAATGCAACTTTAAACAAGATTCATGAATTTAGTAACAACATTATAGAGGACACTAAGATTCTTTCCAAATGGAATTTACACAAGGAGAAATGTTTAATACAATGGGGTGAAAGCAATGGTGTTAAATCCAAACTTGATATTGCTTGTAAGTGTAATTTTATTGTTTTTCTTTTTAATAGAAAAATAGATAGTGATTTATTAATCATGTAAACTATAGTTTATATATGTGAGTTTCTTTTTTACTTAATGTAGAAAGAATGACTTGATAGAGAAAGTTTCCAATTAAGTCCTAATTTTTTACAAATTTGTATTTTTCTTTTGTATCCCAAATTATATAATCATTTTCTGAAAAAAAAAAAAAAAAAAATATTGAAAATAGTTGTTGAAGGAGCTGGAAGGGGAGGTATAGCAAGAGAAGATCTTGAAGTTGGAGATATTGCTTTGGAAATTCCTTTGTCTGCAATAATTTCAGAGGACCTACTTCATGAAACCACTATGGTTTGTTTTGTTTACTAGAATTTAAATTTTTTAATATTTATAATTTAATATTTGTTCCATTTTAAATCCTTAAGTTCACAAATATATATGGTAACTATTTGATTTATCTTTAGGGTTTTATGCAGAAAAGTCCCATTATTTTGGGAAATTTTTTATAAAGTCCTAAAAAAAAATTTTGAACAAAAAAGTCCCGATTATTTAATATTTTGCCCAAATTAACGAAAAAGTCCTTATTTTTATTTTAACAGGAAATGACAGATTATCATGTAAAATTAAATAATTGGGATTTTTTTGTTCAATTATTTTTAAGGATTTTATCAAAAAATTTTCCCAAAATAATGAGACTTTTCTACATAAAACCCTTATCTTTATAACAATACTACAAGAAATGGAAAAAATCAAACCCTTTTATGCAACTTTTGACATAGAAAAATTATGAATTTTCCATTTTTTATTGATGTGAAAATTTAATAACTGGTTGGAATTTAACTATTTATATTACTTATGTAAATTACAGTTTCCAGTATTAGAAAAAGTAGATGGTATTTCCTATGAGACAATGTTGTTATTGTGGAGTATGAAGGAGAAATATGACACCAATTCAAAATTCAAGATTTATTTTGATGCTCTTCCAGAAGCATTTAATACAGGTAGTAAAGATAAATAATAAATCATGTTTAAAAAAAAGGTTAATTACATAAAAGACCCAATAGATTTGTTTATTTCCGGATTAAACCTCAATTTATTTACTAAAAACCCCTTACATTTTTTCATTTTTTCCGATTTGACCCTTTTAGCAGATTCACCGGTCATCTCCCAGTTTTACACAAAGATGTAAGGGCTTTTTTTTGAAAAAAATAAAGTCGAGGTTTAATCCGAAAAAATGGAATAATGTAAGGGCCAAATCGGAAAAATGGAATAATGTAAGTTTATTTTAGAAAAAAAGTTGAGGTTTAAGCCGAAAAAAACTCAATCTTTTTTTTTGTAAATAACCCTTTAAAGTTATTTGATAAATGACAACACACTTGGGGAAATGAAATCAAAAAACAAAAAAAAAAGGTTGTAAATTTGTTAAAGATTTGTATTAAAGTGAAAAAGAAAAACTTCTTATATGTATAGAATCACAGGGTTAAGCTTTGGAATGGAGGCAATCATGGCTTTAGATGGAACATTGTTGCTAGAAGAAATAATTCAAGCAAAAGAGGTCATCGATTTTTTTATTTTTTTCTTTAAATATAAAATATTGTTTACTCATAATAGTAACTCTATAGTTTTAGATGTAACTATATTAGGTGTAAATTTGTTATTTCTTTAAAAGGAATCTTGATTTTGTTTTTGTTTGCTTCACATTTGCAGCATTTGAGATCTCAATACAACGACTTAATTCCATCATTATGCAACAATTATCCAAATATCTTTCCTTCAAATCTTTACACATGGGAAAAATTCTTATGGGCTTGTGAGTTATGGTATTCAAATAGCATGAAAGTGATGTTTAAAGATGGGAATCTAAGAACATGTTTGATTCCCATTGCAGGGTTTCTCAATCATTCGGTTTGTCATTTGTTAATCCAATATCCTCTTCTTTATTAAATGCAAAAAATATCAATGTACTTTGGTCAACAATTGTAATCATTTTTCAGATAACCCCACATATAATGAACTATGGAAGAGTGGACCCCACATCAAACTCTTTAAAATTTCCTCTTTCAAGACCATGTAACAATGGAGAACAATGCTATCTTAGTTATGGGAACTTGTCTAGTTCTCATTTAATTACTTTTTATGGTTTTTTACCAAAAGGATACATTGACAACCCCTATGATGTCATTCCACTTGGTAATATTTTTTTTATCTTGACATCATTTATCAAGAAAAGAAAAAGGGTATTATTGTCAATTTGTCATGTCGTGATTACAGATATTGATCTTGATAACATAGAAGATGTGAATCCGATGTGTAATTGGTCTACTCATATGGTGAGGGGGACATGGCTTTCAAAGAAGAATGGAATCTTCAATTACGGGCTTCCAATTCCATTGTTGGAACATCTCCGTGAAGCTCGTATGTTGATGTTGGAATCAAATATTGAGGTAAATAATATTAATATTTCTTCTTTGGGATTTTGACATTAAAGTCTTTAAGTTTGTCAAATTTTGTCTGTTTTGTCCTTGTGATGATTTTTTGTTTGTTAATGTCTAGTTTTTTACATTTTTGCCCTTGTTATCTGTAATAGCAGGTTTATAGGTTACCATTAAATCAAAGTTTGCAAAAAAAGAAAAAACCCTTACCCTAAGTATACCTTTTTTTTTTTTTTTTTTTTTTTTCTAAAAAACGTATGTATATGATGTTTAATTTAACTTTTTTTTTCGTGTATAAATACATTTTTTCTGTATGAATACGTATAATATGAAAAAAAAGTTAAATACTTAGGGTAAAAACGCAAAAAGATTTGTAAACTTAAAGGTTTTTTTTTTTTGAAAATTTGATTTGGTAACCTAGAAACGTGCAATTATAGGTAACAAGAGAAAAAATGAAAAAAACTAGACATTAACGAAGAAAAAATCGTCATAGGGACAAAAACCGACAATATTTTACAAACTTAAGGACTTTCATGTCAAAAGCCCTTCTTCTTTTATTGTGTTGGTTTTGTATATTGGTGTAAAATGTTGGATTTATTTAGTTATTTTTATGCGAGTTATATGTGTGTGTGTACTATTTATAGGTACAAGAAAAGTTGGAATTGGAATTGGAAATTCTCGAAGACCTTCAATCTACATTTGATGCCATGATGGAAAACTTGGGTGAGACCGAACCATTGGGAAGGTACACAAATGCTTCCTCCGTCTGTTAGACATGAAATGACAGAACAGTACAGGTTGTACTGTGTTTGACATGCATTAGACTGAGACTGATGTTAATGAGACAAAAACTGTAAATTTATGTCCCGTTCAAGAAAGGTGGGACATGGACGGGCTCTTGATCTCTTGCAGTACAACCTGTTTTGTCTTATCTGTCCTGCATGACATAACAAATTATGGAGTTACATTTTTGTAATATTACGCTTTGGTTATTTATTAATTTTCTCTTTTTTTATTTGAATAGAGAAAACTGTGATTGGGATGTGAAGCTTGCATTGGATTTCAAAGAATTACAAAAACGGATCATTTCATCGATTGTAAGTTCATGTTATAATGGTAAAAAGTTAGTAGAACAAGAGTTGCACAACTGCAAATGTGTATAACTTTTTATCCAAATTAGTTTCATAATCATTTTTGGTTTTTATATTTTGTTTAGTTTTTATTTTATGTATCAATTAGTGACGCTCTTAGTAAACGAGTTTCAATTATTTAATGTTAGTTTTTAATTTTAAAGTTTGTGTATGAATAATAGTGTAACGATTATTTAGTGTTAATTTCGAAGTGTGTAGTGTGTACATATTTTTTGAGGTTAATACTTAATAACGTTCTATCTTGAGAAATGGGTTTCATAAGATTTATCGGTTTTTATGCTTTGGTTTTGACATTTGTAATGCTGATTTTTTGGGTTGTTTAATTACATTTTTTCCAATTAATGAAAGTCATATTTTTGAAAGAGTTTTTTACTCCTACCATTTTTGGTTTAACAGGTATTAAAGTTAATATGATTTCTCATTTACATATATGATATTTATGTATTTTATGAAATAAAATTTTGCTTCCTAAAAATGTCTTATCATTTTTCTATTTAACAAATTATATACATACCATGTAGGTAAATAAGTAGTAAGTTCAAAATTTTTGATGATGTTTTAGGAAGTACATACGATTCTATATTAGGTTAATTAGAATCCAAGTTAGTCTTAACACCAACTAAACTAGAAATACAGATTCACATGGAAATTTCTTGCAAAAAGTTATTGGTTTTCATTGTTCGAAAAAATATAATGGTTAAACTGTAAAAATGCCAAAGCTTTTAACGTATTTTGTAACTTTACTTATATAAATACAATGTTATAGTTTGATACAGTTTAATCAGATAATTTTAAGTAATAGAGATACATAAAGCCTAAGATGCATAAACAATATTTCTGAAATATAATCCATGTTACAATGATATTCAAAGATCATATTCGATGTATATTCTATAACATACAAACTCCAAACAAAAACAACTAAAGTTTTAAGCTAATTTTATTATAATAAATTATTACTTTTAAAATTACATCAAGTTTTGTGAAAGATTCTGTTTTTGGGCTTAGGAAAAGGCCCATTCATAGCCCAATCTACCTGTCGGAAATATTTGCATCTAATCGGCTCGATTCTTTTCGGATGTTTCTTCAGTACTTTTTTTGATCTTCTCTCTTCAAGATTCTGATCAGCAATCAATCGACAATCAAGCTCACAGTTTGAATTAATCTTCGAGGAACGTAAATATACACATCAGATGCTATAACAGTAAGTTGATCTCTCAATCCACGTAGTTATACAAATCTAAATTTCAACCAATTCATTGCGCAATTTCAATTTCAGATTCATTCATCCGCAAAAATCTACACTCTCTATGCGATCTCTACTTCGAATATCACATTAATCACAATTCACCCGATTTACGATCTCATGATGAATTCCGAAGATTAAACCGATCCGAACAGCTCCAGTTTTTCAACCGTCAATTCAATCATCGATATAAACCCTAGATCTAATCAAATTTAGGGTTAGAGTTATACAGAAATGTCTTGTTTAGCTCTATCTCTTCAACCTACAAATGGATCCGATATCCTTCTCCAAACACGCGAGTGGTTCCCTCCGGCACGAGCGCTGGTCGCCCTTTCAGCTTTCCGGCAGACGCGTCTTGCTTTTGCCACCGGAAAAAACCAGAATGCGGAGGACGGCGACACCTCTTTAGGAGACGACCCGCTGGCTGCCTCCAGTGGACAAGTCATCGTCGGTGTTGAGAGCCGCTACCGAGTCGTTTACAGGTTGGTGAATTCGATCTATGTGTTGGGGATCACGACAGTTGATGATGATTGCGTGAACAATGTGTTCGAATGCATCAGTATCGTGAACCAAGCAGTGAGTGTGATTGTTACTGCTTGTCGTGGAGTCGATGTTACACCTGAAAAACTTGGTAGAAAATACGCAGAGATCTACATGGCTTTGGATATTGTTCTAAGAGGTGTTAGCAACATCAGATTAGCTGCAATGCTTGCATCTTTACATGGAGATAGCATAGCCAAAATGGTTCATTCAGCTCAAAGCACAGAAAGCAAAATCAGAGGAGCTGATTCCTGGAACAACATTGAAGCTCATTCATCTGAACATGAATCAAGTGAGTTAGCCTTCTCCTCAGCTACATTCGAACTCCCTCCCGAAACCCTAGAAGCCGGTGATGAGGTGGCAGCCACCTTAGCCCGAACAGAACTGGGCCCACCAATCGAACAACAAGAAGACTCTTCAAAACAAGAAGATGATCAAACAGAAAAAGATCCATTCGCAGCCAGTGACAATCTCAACAAACCAGTTGATCTTGTTGGTGGTTTCAAGAAAGACAAAGATCAAGCTTCTGACATGGCAATTGTTCTATCAGGACTCGAAGTCACCACACTACCACCAGCTGCAGCAACCGAGTCAACTCACATTGGTGTTGAAGGCTTTGAAGGTGATTATGGAGGCATAGAATTCAGCAAAGATGGATCCACTTTACCCGAAGATTTCGAAGGTATAAACCAAGCATGGGGTGGAGGTTTAGATGCATCCGAATTTGTCGATTCAAAGAAAGTACAAAAACACGAAGGTCTAGGTGGACTTGAACTATTAGAAACCTCCAACACCCCAATTACCAAAAACGCCCCTGAACCCGAACAACCTCTCGAAGAACTCCTAGTCAAAAAACCCGAAATGAAAGGCCCCGAAATGTACATTCATGAAGAAATCAACGCAGAATTTCGCGAATCTTTACTTGCAAGATCCGGATTAATGGGTACTGTTTTCTTAAAAACTCTTCCTCCTAAATCTTCTGATAATAATAATCAAGAAACCGAATTTTCTTTCCGAGTTGAAAACACAAATGGGGTTAAACGCTTTGTGATGAATACTTCTTCTATAACCAGTTTAGGAAACCAAACATTCCATTTGAAAACCCCAAATTCAGATCAACCTATACCCATTTTAAAATACAGTTTTTTACCCCGTTTTACCCCTCTACCTTTAAGAGTCCGATTAGTTAAACGCCATAGTGGGACATTATTGTCTGTAATGATTCAGTATGTGTCAAACCCGGATCTACCTTCTCCTTTGACCAATGTGACTTTTGTTCTTAAACTTCCGGTTGACCCGAGACTATTAAAGGTGTCACCTAAAGCTGTGTTGAATAGGTCTGAAAGGGAATTACAATGGCATGTTGATGAGATTCCATTGAAAGGGAATCCTGTGAGATTGAGGGCTAGGATGCCTGTTGATAGTAGTGGGGAAGATGGTGGGGAGGAGGTTGAGGTTGTTGGGTTTGTGAAGTTTTGTTATGAGGGAGTGAAGTCGTTGTCTGGGATCTCTTTGTTGAATGTTTCCGAGGGTAAAATGGACTTTTATGAGGTTGGGCATAGGTTTGAAAGTGGAGTTTATACTTGTAATTGAATGTTTGAATGTTTGTTTTGTGGTGTTATTGTTTGGTTTAGTTTTTTATTGTATGTGGTTTGAAGTGGATTTTTTTAGTATTCTTTGTACCCTAGAATTTGGAATTGTTGTTTGTTATGATCAAAGTTTTGTTGTTCTGTAATGTAACGAATCCCTTGGCTGGCCCACACTGCAGTCTGCAGTGTCAAAATCTACATTGGAATTAAAACTCTGTTGGCCTAGGCCTACGCTGCAGTCTACACTGTCAAAATGCAAATCTACATTGAAGTTAAAACTCTGTCGGCCCACTCACACTGCAGTCTTTGCGTGTTTTTTTTTTCTTCAGTTTCGAGTTTTTTTCTTTAACAAATGTATAATTATTACTAATGTGATATATTAAAATTTACTAAATGATACACTAAAATTTAGTAATAGAAAAAATGGAAAAAGTTAGGTTCCAGACGGTATCGTGTCGTTTTTATTTTCCGGCCAGGTCTTTTTTGGGACTAGTCTTTTTCCCGGCCGATCTCGTCTTAGATCGGTTCGTTCTCGGTCCTTTTTGGGATTGGTCCATGACCAGTCTTTTTGTTCATGTCTCAAATGTATGGCAACTTCATTTTTAGTTGCTTAAATCCTAAATGATTACCATTAGCCACCTTCATCCTCAGACTATGCTACTTAATTTTGGTTCATGGGGAATCCTATATATATAATATATATATATATATATAATATATATATATATATATATATTAAAAATAGAAATCGTACTAACAAGACGCTATACCTAGGCAGTACAAAAATCGAACAACAATATCAAAACTACACCATTTAAACCGGTCAATATTATGCATTTTCGCATGATGCCTAACCCAATTAAAAGTGTTAATCACCATATCATCTGCAGTCTTCATAGGAGTAAACTGCAAGTTGTTGAAAACCAAAGCATTTCTCGCCTTCCATTTCCACCACAACACAACATAAGAAAGGGCTAATCTCAACATAACTAACTTACCTCCACCCATATTCTTCAAATGGTTGACCCGATCAATATTGACATACCTTCCATTGTTTGTGGTATATGTAACAAAGACATAGAGGAGATTTCACATCTTTTTATTTTTTGCAAAGTATCGGTCGAATTATGGCAATATTTTGGAAAATGGTGTGGTGTTGATGTCCCTGGTTTTAGTCAAATTCAAGATGTAATTCAATGGATGGATTCGATGCAACTATCCAAGACAAAACGAATGGTGTTAGAATCAATTGTTATGGTAATGTGGTGGTTCCTATGGAATTTTAGGAATGACGTTCATTTTTGTGATCAAAATGTGAGAAAGAATTTGTTGGTTGATAGATTAACCGACTATTCAGATAATTGGATTGTATATACGAATAGGAAGTTTAGTATAAGTCGAGTAGCATGGCTTATAAATCCGATTTTATCTATTCCATTGTAATTATTAGTTAAGCTGATTGTTAACTTTCTTACTAAAAATTCAGCCGTTCGAAAAAAAAAAGGCAAGTAAACCTACAATTGGACCACGAGCAAAACCAACCCCACACCGAGCGAGCAAAGTTACACTCAAGGAAGACATGATCCACCGGATCATCACTCGAACCGCAAAAAGGGCACAAAGAGGAAACAACAATAATACCTCTATGGACTAGATTACAAGCAAGATGAATCTGATTCTTAAGTAGACACCAAATGCAACAGTTTATCTTATGCAACACCCACTTCACCCACCTAAAATGAGCACTCCTCAAAATCCCCAACAATTTGAGAAATAGACAACCAAACACTGGGAATAGACTTCTTTGCAAAAGACTTGCCATCCACAAACGAAATCTTACGAACAGCTTCAATGAACTTCTTCCAAAGCGAGCCTTTCTCCACTTTTAACCTCCACCACCATTTAGCAAAAAGAGCCAAGTTTAAGGAATTAAGGCAACCGACTTGAAGACATCCATTCTCTTTTGGCGTGATAACTTTTTCCTAAGCCACCCAACTAATCTTCTTATTGTTTTCTGATCCACCCCATAAGAATCTCCTTCTATGCATATCAAGACTCTCTAAAACCTTTTTGGGATCCTGAAATAAGGAAAAATAATATAAAGGAATACTACTCAAAACCGAGTTCACAAGAGTGAGTCTTCCTCCAATAGAAAGATTATTTGCTCTCTAATTACTAAGTTTGCTCTTAAATTTATCTACAATAATCTCCCAACTTTTAGGCCTCTTCATATCGGCACCAATCGGAATTCCAAGATAAGTAAACGGGAAAGAAGCCACCTCACATTTTAAGAAACCTGCAATCCTATAAATCTCTAGATCTCCCACCCCGATTCCGAAGACCATGCTTTTATGAAGATTAACCTTCAAACTGGACGCCAAATAAAGCAACGAATCAATCTATTGAGATTAATAAATTTAACTTCTGACCACTCCCCCATAAACATCACATCATCGGCATACATAAGGTGAGAGATCGTGGGGCCATGTTATTAGGGAGAGAAATGCCACGAAAAAGGTAATGCTCACAAGTGGCTTCCAACGAGACATGAAGTCCTTCCATGGCAATAATGAAAAGAAACAACGACAAAGGATCTCCTTGTCTCACCCCCATTTTATAATCAAACTTGTTGGTTGGGGAACCATTCACAAGAATGGACACTCAACTAGAGACCAAACAACCCATAATCCATTTCCGCCAACTATCTCCGAAATTCATTTGTTCCATTAGTGAGTCTAAAAAACCCCAATCCAATGAATCAAAGGATTTGTCAAAGTCCTTTTGAAGATGGCTGCTTTTTTCTTCAACTTCTTTGCCCATGAAGTTCAGTTGAAGTGCACACACTTGCTATGAGATGAAAGAGATACATGAAGCCTAATTTGGTAACTTTAAACATTTAAAGTAAACTAGCATTTCTTTTATATCTTTTAGTAAAGTTCATATTCTAGTGTTTTGGAAATATATGAAATCATACCATTGGGCCAAATACTACTTTTTGTACCTTTATATATATATATATATATATTATATATATATATATATTATATATATATATATATATATATATATATATATATAGGCTTAGGTTATTCTATTCTAACTAATTATTGTGCGGATATCGTATGCTATGAGAATTACTAAGAGAATAAGTTGTTTAGCAATGCGAATACGTTTAACCTTACAAAAATATTGTCATTTCCATGCATTCTCGCCAATTATTATTTATTTTTGTTCTCACACATCGTTTTTCACTCATTTTCATTCTGACAGAATACGACCCAAATAAACATTCTGACAACATTCTGACAGAAATGAGAATAATAATAATAAGTGTATAATAACCTTATAGACGATTTAATTAGTGAGAATTTGTGTTAATGACAATAGTTATGTAAGATTGAACGTATTTATATTATGAAACTGATGGGTTTTACACACAAGAACTTTCCTATGTGCTCATGCAAACCCTAATACTTGGATCTAGGTTTCTCTATTGTACATGATATTCATCCAAGATTTAGAAACCCTAATCTAGCATACATATTTCGAAAATATCATACAAGATTAGATCTAGATGTTTACCTCTTCAAGAATGCTTGAATCTTCCTTTCTCTTAAGCTTAGAGTCACAAGTGTCACTCATCTAATGACTTACAAACACCAAGGCAAGAGGATGAAGTATGAGAGAGAAGGAGGGAGGCTAAAATCGGCCCTAGGGTTTCCAAGAAGCAAGTGGCCGATTTCTTCACCCTAAGGGGTCTATTTATACTGTGAGCTGCTAGGGTTTCAGTCAAAACCCTAATTGACAGCTTAAGGATTAAGCAGCCCATGGAACCTTCTGGAATAGGGCCTCCTTGGACGAATTCAAGATGGGCTCCATCTTGAATTTCGTCCATGCCTAGTCCATAAGGCTTCTCAGCCCAAAACTCAATTATCTTATAATTGCAGTCCAGTCCCCTATATTTAATTAATCTCTTTTAGCCACCAAATTAATTCTTAATTAATTCATGACTAATATTAATTAAATAATATGATTTCTATTTTAATATATTATTTCCATAATATATTAATAAACCATAATATCCCCCCCCCCCCTCTCTCTCTCCATAAATCATCCTGTCAAGTTGCTTTGGTGAAGGCAACCCAAAAGGATCATGCACAACCGGGTCAAGTACATACCAAATATAGTTATGGACTTAGAGACTAATCCAACAGTCTCCCACTTGGATAAGTCTAATAACTATATCTCATATATGACTTCAGGATCCGATTAACAATCATAGCTCTTATACGCCGATGTCAACTCTGATCAGTAACCCGTCCTTTAGATAAGGGATCATATAATCCTCTGTTCTAGATATCGTGCGGACAATCACATGGAACTAAGTCATACTTATTGTCCAGCAGTTTGTTTCTCGATCTCTGATTTGTTCGACATAGAACTTAGTTGAACACATCAACTTAGTCCTGACCGGGCCCGACACATAAGTCAAACCAAATCATCGAGGGGCCCAAATATAACTTTTATCCTCTTAGGACAAAAGGAACAGATAAACTTCGACTTATATGCATTTACTATTCACTAGTCAAATTATACACAACAATGCATTTTATAACATCAAGTTACCGATGCGTTTACGCATTATCAATGCACAACCAACTAGCAAATAACAAATCATATATCTAGGTTTAAAGACTATATGATATTATCGTCTTGCGATCACTCGAGATAAATTCCATGAAGTGATACCAGCAAGCGCGGGTTTATTCCAATGCTCAAATCTCAATTCATAAGCACTCATGAACTTTGTAGCAACTTTTGCAATGCCTAACACCTTTTAGACAATCTACAAACAAATTCATGACAGTCTTCTTTCATATCTACTTCCAACATATGAACGACTATGGACTGTTCGAATAATCTTATTATTCAGGAAGTCAAAACATGCAAAATGAAACAATAGATAAATGATTAACACAAGACAGTAACTTTACTAATAAATAA